TACTTACTGGCTCTTAATTAAAAATTAATTGTATATATAATTACCTTTTATTATTACAAAACAAATAACAATTTATAAAATTAAATACCACCACTTATAAAATTTATCTTAATCACTTTTATTCCCCAAAAGTACAAGTCAGTCTCTTTTGATTTCATCACATTTTTTGATTTATATTTTTGTTTCTTTCAGTCCAAAATTCTTTAACTGGTATATATTATCTGTGCAATATGTATGATTGTGTGATACCTTAATAACGTCTTAATGACGTCAATAAGATGTCATTAAAATGTCATTTGAAATTATTTTGCTACTTAAAGTATTATATTTCAACAATATATTGCAGCAATATTACTGTAATATTTCAATATTATTTAAAAACGTGTAATACATCAACAATATTTCTGAAATATTTCATTGTAATACGTAATATTTCCACTATATTGCAATATTACTGCAATATTTCTGCAATATTATGTGCTGTGTGGGATATTATCTGATGATCGTTAAACGATAAGCAATTTTCTTTTTTATGTTTAGGTTTTCAATGTTTCTAACGTATAAAAAGTGTGTGCAAAATAAATTTGGTGTACTCGTGTACGTAAAGATTCAATATATTTTTATTTTCATAACTGAAAAATAATGAATGTATTTATTAAATAATTATATTTAATAAATACATTATTTTTCAGTTATAAAAATAAATGGTATATTGTGCATCTAGGGTAAAAAGTTACGTTTTTTGGACAAGTATGTATAACCTTCGGCTCGGGCGGCAATCTCTGCACGAGTCTGAAAAAAGCTTCCTCTCCGTGGTACACATACGATATTTTTCACAATACCTTTATGGAAATGTTCGAATTTTGATATGTATAGAGCGAGGCGACAGTGGCCAATTTTACGCCAGAACGGCTTACTTTCTCTCCCTAGAGAGGAAAAGTATAAAGTCCTGGTGTGAAATTGCGGGCATCATTTTCGTACCGCTCTACAGGCATCAAAATTTGAACATTTCCGTAAAAGTATTGTGAAAAAAATATTTTTATTTAATATATATATTCAATATTTTTAACACTATATTAAAATATTGTTAAAAATATTAAATATTAAAAAAATTTGTATTAAAATAAATACAAAAGTGTAGGAAGTTTTTATGCAGATACCGTAAATGAAATTTCAAATAAGATATTAAAAACTAAAAAAGTGGTATTTCGAAAATAAAAGTAACGAGCATTAATATTACTATGCGCATTTGTTTGAAAAATCAGATACTTGTAAAGCAATTTTGACCTTTAAGTATATGTAAATTAAGAAACAGGTCTCGGAATTCTCAGAATCAAGACCATACAATTAATGCACTGTATGACACTTTCGTGATACTTGTTTCTATGATATCTCTACAGATTTGTCCCGTAATAACCACTGTGTATATTGATAATAATATTCCAACATAATAAAATTACAACACTTATGTACTTGAAATTTATTTAGTCTTGAGACCATTCTCAGGTCAATGTTCATAAAAATTAGAAAACCTGTTTTTTAATTTAAATATGCTTAAAGATCAAAATTAATTTACAGGTATATGAATTTGTAAACAAATGAGCATAGTAATATTGCTGCTCGATACTTTTATTTTCGAAATACTACTTCTTCAAATTTCAACTTCGTATTTAAAATTTCATTGTTTTTACAATGTAGCCTCTAATTTCTGCGCGACTTTTAAACTGGCTTGGGACCTCATCAGCTTATACTTCTTTTTCTTGTGCCGTTGACTGTAAATCTTTATTTATCAATATCCTCGATGGTGTGCATAGGTTAATGTGTGACCCGAATGCACTTAATATAGAAAACGGTAAAATGTATATAATTAAAAAAGTAAATGATACATGATTATCTATAGTGTTATAAATTCATAAAAAAAAGCTAGAAAGTTGCACCTGAGTTTCAGTACATGTATATTCTTATACTACAAAACCAATATTAAAACTTTTTTCGGACTTTGATCACTATCACCTAGATACGAAGTATGGGCAATAACCCGATAAAAACAGTCACGTCACATCCACGTTGAATCCACGTAATTTACGTGGACTACGTGGATGCAGATTTATCCACAAACTATCCACATAGATGCAACGTTCTTTTTTCATTACTACATCGAAGTCTTTTATCCTCGAAATATCAATGTAGATTCTCTGTGGATATATCTATTAAGAGATACGTACAGGGAATTTTTATCGACATTTCGAAGATAAAAGACTTCGATTAGTGATGAAAAAAGAACGTTGCATCCATGTGGATAGTTTGTGGATAAATCTACATCCACGTAATTTCTATTAAAGATTATAATTAATCAATAAAAGTATTATTATACTGCGTTTATATGGCAATGTCATAGTTTTTAATGGATAATCAATAGTGAATTATAATTTGATGCTGCAATTATACTTTGTATACTGCAGGTGGAATAAACTTGTATTGAATAAGATTTTGTATGCAATTGCCATGTCGATTGACACATTTTAGCCCTAGTCGGTGCATCAGCAATTTATGTTTCTGCATTATTTCTAAAGTTTCATTAACGAAAGGTTTCCTTATTTTTGTCTAGTGAGGTCCTTGTAAGGATTTGATAAGAATGTTTTAACTTTATAAATATACTTTTTTCATAAATATATTTACGAACACAAAATTTCATAATGAGCCGGCACTGGTTTCTGACATTCACCCGACATTAAGAAATATTATATCATATATCCAATTCAAAAATTTATTACTCTTTTTAAACTGAATTTGTTTCTTAAGATGATTTTTGAAAAATTATATATTTGCGCTGGTTATATGACATATGTAGACTATATATAACGTTTACATCAAATTAAGAAGTAGTCTACCACGTAAGGCAGTTGGCTCACCATGCAGAGGTCCCGAGTTCAAATCCCACCAAGGTAAGTGTGTTTTTCAAATACGAAAAAATATTTATAATTATAGACTGCATCTTAAGAAACAAATTTAGTTAAAAAATAATAAAATTTTGAAATAAATAATTTTTTTATGTCGGGTGAATAATTATTCAGTGAAATACGTGGATTTCACGTCAAATCGATGATCTCATCCACGTGGACTACAGTACCGTTCTTGAGCGGATTGTCCACTCGAATGTCCACGTGGATTCCACGATGCTGATCTACGTAGCAATAACGTGAATTTCACGTACTGTTTTTATCGGGAAAGTAACTGTCACATGATACTAGTTATACCAACCTAAACATTCTAGATTATCCTAAACACTCAATGACCCACGGTACCCCGCGGTTCATGGTGCCCCGATCTCCCCTATATGTATATAAGATAGATAGATAGATAGATAAGATACTTTATTACCCCAAGGGGTCTAAAAGGGCGTTTTTTAGGGACGTACCCAACCCTGTACATCCAGTTTACAACAATTTACATACAATTAAAATACATATAATTTATTATAAACATATTACTCTTCGATCCTTTTCGTTGTCTCGTCCTCCTTGATCCTCTTTCGTTGAGTTGTTGGCTTGTCCTTCTTCCTTTCTCATTATCCTCCCTCCTCCATCTCGTCTCATTTCCTCTATTGCTTTCATCCATTCTTCTCCCTCTCCCTTTTCTCCTAGTAATCTCTCTGCCACATCCTGCCACCCCTCTCCTTCCCATTCCACCCATCTCGTACATTCCTCCCATACATGTTCCCATGTTTCCTCTTTCTTCCCACACATCCTGCATTTTTTGTCCTCCTCATTTTCCCAGTATAGTCCTTCCCTCACTTTGTTACCCAGTCTGAATCTTGCAATCCTGTTCCATTTTGCTTCCTCCCATCCCTTCATTAGATAGTCCGGGATCTCGTCCTTCCTTATACTCTTATACCATCTGTTGTACTTCGATCCTACGATCTTTTCCATCCTTTCTTGTCTCTCCTTATCTCTCTCCTTCTTTTCCAATTCCTCCTCCTCCAACTCCTCTCCTCCTTCCATTTCTACTCCGATCCCTTCCAAATAATCTTTTCTCTTCTGCTCCCATCTCCCTATTACCTTTCCTCTCTTCCATCTCTCTTTCATTTCTTCCAAACACTTTCTTGCTATCTCTCCTCCTCTACCTTCTTCCAATTTTCTTTCAAATTTCCATGTTCTCTTGCTTGCTCTACTTCTCATCTTCTCTCTTTCTAGCTCGTCTCTGACCATATATCCGGGCGTCCTCCAATTTACTCCAAGTACCCATCTAAGATATCTCTCGTGAATACCTTCTACCTCCCTCCTCTCCTTCCATCCCCATACTTCTGCCCCGTATCCCATCACTGTCCATATCAGTATGTCGTATAGCCAGATCCTTCTTTTGGAGTCCTTTTTCCACATCCTCTTCCTTATCCCCCATACTTTCCTCATTACTCTTGCTGCCTTCCTTCTTCTCTTTCTGATATGCGCCTCCTGCCCTCCATTCTCCTTTATCGTATACCCTAAATACTTGAATTCTTTAACCTCTTCTAATTTTTTTCCCTTCCACCTCTAGTCGTACTTCTTCTTCCTTCCTCCTCTTTTTCTGAATCTCATTACCTTTGACTTCTCTATACTCAGAGTTAACCCTTTTCTGTCTAGATATCCTTCTAACCTGCTTATCATCGATCTCATGTCCTGCTCCTCCTCTGCCAGCAGTGCAATATCATCTGCATACATTAGCGTGTATATTTTCTCGCCTCTTAATTTCACTCCTCCCCATCCGCTTTTTTTTATATGATCCTCTATGTCTGCGATTAATAGGTTGAATAATATTGGGCTTAGTGGGCATCCCTGTCTCAGGCCTTTCGCCGTCCAAAATTAACCATCACTCTCTCCTCCTTTCCCTACTCTGCTCTTTGTTTCCCTCA